TACCTATTCACTGGGCTGCTGTGACAAACGTGTTTTTGTTTTTGTTTTGTTTTGTTTTGAGACAGAGTCTAGCTCTGTCGCCCAGGCTAGAGTACAGTGGCATGATCTCAGCTCACTGCAACCTCCACCTCCCGGGTTCAAGCGATTCTCCTGCCTCAGCATCCTGAGTAGCTGGAACTACAGGCACCTGCCACCATGCCCAGATAATTTTGGTATTTTTAGTAGAGATGGGGTTTCACCATATTGGCCAGGTTAGTCTCGAACTCCTGACTTTGTGATGCCCTGCCTCGGCCTCCCACACTGCTGGGATCACAGACATAAACCACTGTGCCCGGCCCAAATGTGCTAATTTAATATAAAGTTCTTGACTCATAGTAAGCACCATGTAAGTGTTAGCTGTTATTACTCAACAAACATTAGCTACGTATAAAAATGGGGATTTATACATTCTCATAGTTTGAAAATAAACCCAAACAACTTTAAATATGTGCAAAGTCAATGGGGTAGCTTGTGCCTATAATCCCAGCTATGCAAAAGGCTGAGGAGGGAGTAACACTTGAGACCAAGAATTCAACCTGCAGTAAGCTATGATTGTGCCACTGCACTCAAGCCTGGATGACACAATTAAACCCCCATCTCTAAAAAAGATCAATAAATAAAAATAAATATGTTCAAGACTATACTCTGAGAATTACAAAGCACTGCTCAAACTGAAGAGCTAAATAAATGGGGAGATATGTATGTTCATGGATCAGAAGACAATATTTTTAAGACATCAATTCTTCTGAAATTGATCTACATTCTCAATATAATCCCAATCTAAATCTGGGCAGGCATTTTTGTAGAAACCAGACAAGCTGATTCTAAATTTTATATGCAAATGCAAACAATCTAGAATAGCTAAAACAATTTTGAGAAAGAACATTAAAGCTACAGTAAACAAAGCAGTATGGTATCAAGAGAAATAAAACCATATGTCCATACAAAGATTTGTATGTGAGTGTTCATAATAGCTGTATTCATAATACCCAAAAACTGGAAACAACCCAAATATCCATCAACAGGTGAATAGATAAAATGTAGTATAACCATACAATGGAATATGAGTCAGCAATAAAAGGAAATGAAACACATGAAAACATGGATAAATCTCAAATAATCATACTTAATAGAAGAAGTCAGACCAAAAGAAAAGTGCATACTATATGATTCCTTGTATGCAAAATTCTACAAAATGCAATCCAATCTATAATGACACAAAGCAAAGCAGTGGTTGCCTAGGGATAGGGGTTGAGGAGGAGTGACTGACTGTAAAGGAGCATGAGGGAACTTGTGCAGGGATGAACATGGTATAGTTACACAACTGTATACATTTGTCAAAACTCATTAAATAAGACACTTAAAATGGGTGAATCTTACTGTATGTAAATTATGACTATATATAAACAAAATAAGTTATAAGGCAGCACTGTCTTTTGAAAATAAAAACATACTTTTTATACTGATGGAAAGAATACAGGCAAGAACTGCCATACACCTACTGTTTCTGCGAAATCTGTATTACAATATGAGAATTTTGTAAACTTAGCATGATGACATAACTGAAAATACTGCTGACAGTTCTTTTATACTTGTGTCTCCTTCAACTAAAGAATCAAAGAGAATGTATGAAAGAATTTTCCAATTCCGAATACAGGTACTTATTCTAGATAGAAATTAAGAAACAACACAGAGTTTAACTGTGGAATCTGTTAACATGCTTGTAACTGACCTCAAAATCATCTAAGCTTACCAGGTTTCAGAGAAATGCAAAAAAGCATAAAGGAGATTTAAGAAGATGAAAAAGTCCTTTTGCTATCCAAAAGTTAACACTGGTACATCCAATGATTAAAACTCTACTGCTACAGAAATAACCCTGCAAGGATCAAAAATATAGAAAATTGTTCCTTGAAGCTAGAAGTAAATCAGCAGCAGAAAACACACAGAAGACATTCCTAATTTTTATCTCCTGAAGTTCTCTCAGGAGAACACTATTTACCTGGTTAATTATCCTGAGAAAAGGTGCTTTTCTTCTTAACTTTCAAAAAATATTTTATAATACTAAACACCGTAATTTTAAAAGTATGCCTCCATGTTGATTCAGACCTTATATTTTAAAAACAAAATCTGTAACATGAGCAATAAATGAAGACAAACATTTACAGGGAGAAAAAAGGCAGTGTATGCAATTTTCAAGTTCAAATAGCCACAGCAATATGTAACATGCATATATGTAAATTTGGTTAGTTCTAAGGCAATGTGTTACTTTATCATCTAGTTTATACTGTTAATATTTAGTTCAGTAAAAAAGTCACAGCTTCAGATATTTAAGATATGAATTTAGCCAGGAGCGGTGGCTCACACCTGTAATCCCAGCACTTTGGGAGGCGAAGGCAGCTGGATCTCCTGAGGTCAGGAGCTTGAGACCAGACTGGCCAACATGGCAAAGCCTTCTCTCTACTAAAAACAGATAAATTATCGAGGTGTAGTGGCAGGCACCTGTAATCCCAGCTATTTGAGAGGGTGAGACAGGAGAATTGCTTGAACCTGGGAGGCGAGGTTGCAGTGAGCCAAGATCATACCACTGCAGTCTGGGCGACAGAGCGAGACTACATCTGGAGGAAGGTGGGAGATCTGGCTAGGCGCAGTGGCTCATGCCAGTAATCCCAACACTTCAGGAGGCCGAGGCGGGCAGATCACGAAGTCAACAGATTGAGACCATCCTGGCCAACCCCGTCTGTACCAAAAATACAAAAATTAGCTGGGCATGGTGGTACGCGCTCGTAGTCCCAGCTACTCAGGAGGCTGAGGCAGGAGAACCACTTGAACTTGGGAGGCAGAGGTTGCAGTGAGCTGAGATCATACCACTGCACTCCAGCCTGGCAACACAGCAAGACTCTGTCTCAAAAAAAAAAAAAAAAAAAAAAAAAAAAAAAAAAAAGACCTGAATCTGGTTAACTTTTCCTTTTGTAAAGTAACAATACAAATAATTATACTCAGTGCTTCCTATTCAAGTTCCACACACATTCATACCTCCAGGTCTTTAAGGACTCTTCTCCTTCAACTGTCTACCTTTTTATACCCTCTTCTTTTCTGGATTCTTCCATTTTCACCTATCTTGATTGGAACATATTCCCTGATTTCTTGGTCCAGAAGCAAACTGTCTTCCCACAGCTCTTTTCTGTAATATCTGGTGGAACTTGATGTGTTATATTACACTTGTTTAAGTATAGTAAACTCTCTTCTACTATGAGTATCCTTGAAAGGAAGATCCATGCTTTATTCAGGCATATGTCCCTCAGATTATTTAGTACCTGGATCTAAACATTTATTGGGTGTGCTGAGTACAATGAAGAGGAAAACATTCAACAATGGTTTTTAGGCACTGTGTGCCATGCACATGTATGTTCTTATCTATTAGTTAATATAAGCAGAAACAAATGCCAATGATAGAGAACTGCTCTGAATCCACTAAGGGACATAAACATCCAACTAGATTAATTCAATATAACTATCTTGTTAAATTAAGGGATAAGTAGGATGCTGTGAACAAAATATTATGTATGTTGAAAACTGTTCTGATTCCATACCCTACATGTTAGGAAACTAAGTCTAGATTTTTGAAGGGCCCCATGACTACAAAGGTTTCAAGAGTGGTATAATAAGGGCCCCTTAATCTCACAAAATTTCTTACACAACCTGAAATTAACACTCCACCCATATAACAACCTTACGTGCAAACAGGGAGCAACAAACTTCCCTCTATTCTCAGTACAGCAATCGCCAAGAGCAGGCCGGGTCTTCTCATTATCTTTCAACAGACATGTTCATCCATCCCTCCTCACATTTATCTGAATTGTGCACCACTTCCACACACCACGTGCCGCTCCCATGCCCCAACCTGATCTAAATCTACTTAACCTTTAAGATTCTTCTCAAAGCCTACTTGACACTATTACTACATTCTCCAAATGTATATTGGACTATTCTTTCTCAATCTGTACCTATCTTCTTTAAAAATTAATAATGATAAAGTTATATAACTTGGAGTTAGGCAAAACTGGTTTCAGATCCCAGACAGATCTGCTACTGCCTTGCAATGTAAAGTTGGGCAAGTTACTAAACTTCCTTTAATCTGTTTCCTCATCATTAAAATGAGAATTAAATCGGGTGATATGTGCAAAATGCCTACTATACACACATATTCATGCATACATACGTCACATACATACATACTTATGTAATTGAAGATGCAGACTCTCTAAAACTCAAGACAAAAGCAATGAAACATAAAGTGGTACCAAAAGTTGGACCAGTTAGTTGATGTAAAGGAGCCTCCCAACTTTAAAATATGCCCTCGTGGTAGCTCACACAAGCCACCCACAGCAGATTTTTCTCACGTCTCCTACTGAAAACCACGAAAAACTCAAGGGTTTGACAAAGCCCAGATCCCCAGCTCCTCGGTTGATGGCCTAACACTGACATCTTTCCCAAGAGTCTGTCCTTCTCAGAGCAAATCTGATACTAAATAAAGGTCAAGAGAAAAAATAACTTCTATTACATAAGCCAAACAATACATAAATTAACATTTTTTAAATGTGCATTATCCTCCTGGAGCGAGCAAAACCACTTCTGCAAATTGCCAACTCAGTAAAGTCCAAACGGGATGGGAACTGAGTCATCAATTTAAAACCATCAACCACTGACTGCCCCACCCCCAGAAAGGGGACTCTACCACGACCTACTACAGTGAAGCCCCGGACATACCACACTCAGCCACTAACCTAGAAATCCCTACCTCCGACACGCAAGTCCCGCCACTAGGCGCAGCACCCAGTCCTACCCTCAGCTCTGGGCCAATCAGGTACCCTCACACCAGGGTCCCCACCCCAAACCCTCAGGTCCCAATCCAAGCTCCTATCCCAGCCCGACACCGGCACTCACCCGGGCGGTGACCTTATATACTGTGTAGCCCCTCGGGTGTCGCTGGGGCTCAGTGACAGTGTAGAAACGAGCCAGGTCGCCACTCCGCTCCCTGTAAGAGGTCATCCTCCCGCCGCCTCTGCCGCCGCCGCCGCCGCCGCCCGCCCGGGATCATGAGGGCAACCCGGCGCCGCCGCGGTCCAGGTTTCCCAACGCAGCGGCAAAGCGGCGAGGGGGCGGTGGCTCTAGGGCGGCTCCGCGGCGGCGCCTCCGCTGCCCAGTTCTACTTCCGGGTTGGCAAAGAAACTTCCGGGTCAGGCCGCCTCCAGCTTCCAGCGGAAGGGGAGACTCCACCTTAGATTCAGCGCCTTTGGGCCACCTGAGACTGGCCTGTAGTTGAAAATTAAGGGGTCTCACTGCCACCCCCGTCACTGCGGAGACCTCAGGCCTCTCCACTAAAGACGACTCCTTGTAGGCTAGCTCCATCACCTTCTAGATTTTGTAAGAGCTGGTACAGCCACGCCACACCGGTGAGAGCTTGGTCCTCCCTGCCTCCGCCTCGCAGTCGTACAAACTTCCGTGGAGTGGAGAGATACCCTAGCCTAGCACCTTCTTTGCTTACCTATTCACGGGCTATCATTTTAAATACCCATAGCAACATCGCCCTCTCTGGGACATATCCCTTCTTTCTAAGATGAATTTCCTTTCATTGTGCGCCTTTCTGTAACACATCTGTACAGCAAGCCCCCAACCCAAAAAGCTCCCCAGCCAATATCAACCTTTTTTAAATCCCCTCAGATTCGAAAGTCTGGAGTCCGCCTCTGGCTGGAAGAAAGAAAAAAACTCGCTCGTCCACTCCAGGCCACTCACTACACTTTGCAATTTCAACCAGTTGTTAGCCACGCTTGGCAATTCCTTTATCTTTTTGTGATCAGGGTTCTTTCTCATTCCCCAAAATAATCATTCCAAGTCTTTGCCACTATCCTAAAGACTCTGTTCCTTTTCTTTTTTTCTCCCTACATTCTGCAACACCACCCTACTTTGCAGGGAAAAAAGAAGAGGAAGAAGCAGCTGCGGCCCTTAGTACCGATTCCTTCATCTTCTCACATTTCCATGCCAACCTGAGATGTACACATGTCACTTCTTTATTTTTACAACTGACTCCTCATGTAAGCTGAATCCCATCCTCTTTGGCAGACCTTAAGACACTGTTTCAATGACATTCCAAATCTCCTTTCTGTATGTTTAATCTCTTTCTCACCACTGGCCCCTTTTTTTCAACCTACTTATACCTAAGTCTGGCTATCTGTCATTCATTAAACTGAATTCACCACCTACTGTGTGTCAGACATGATGCTGATTTGGCATTGCAGTTACAAAGATAGTCTACAATTCAATTGTTTAGAAAAATATCACAAACTCAATTTTTTTGAAAATGAAAAAGAACTAATGTTCATTAACAACGAAATGCAGAAGGTAAATAAGCACACAGAAAGATATTATATATTCATCTTTAAGAAAATAACTACCAAGGTCAGGCGTCGTGGCTCATGCCTGTCATCCCAGCACTTTGGGAGGCCAAGGTGGGCGGATCAACTGAGGTCAAAAGTTCAAGACCAGCCTGGCCAACTTGGTGAAACCCCGTCTCTACCAAAAATACAAAAATTAGCAGGGTCTGGTGGCAGGCATCGGTAATCCCAGATACTCAAGAGGCTGAGGCAGGAGAATCACTTGAACCCCAGAGGAGGAGATTGCAGTGAGCTGAGAAACACCACTGCACAAAAAATAAAAATAATCTACTAAAACTACACAGGAAAATAGTGGAGTAAGAAACTCCAAAAGTTCACTGCTCCATATTGACTATGAAAAAAACTAACAAAAACTCTCAGTATTAGCTCTTTCAGAACTCTGGAAACTAACCAAAAGCTTACAGCAACCCAGGAACCCTTAAGAAAAATAGGCTGAATCTCTAAGAACAGCAAACAATCTGGCATTTTAACTTACCCTAGGCCCATCCCCTGCTCCTCAGCTCAGGGATATCCTTCGAAATAACAGCTAACATTCTTAGAACCAGTAGAAGAGACCTCATTTTTATAGAATAGTAATTATTACTATAAATAAAGAAATATTTGGTCGTATTTGTCTGATGGCTCCCAGAAGACCAACTCAAAAGGCTTGCCTTCACCTTGTCCCAATGCTAAAGCCATTAACCAGGGGACATATTTCCACAATATTTATAAGTAAATGTGTTTGCCATTGCTGCCTGAAGTAATGGATAACAGCTGAGCAAACAACAGACTGCCCAAGAAGCTTAAGAGAAAAGGCTGGAGAATGAGAAGCTTTGGAAGAATAAGGGCCTTGAAAAGTTCCAATATATTCCTGAGAATCTAGAAGACCATGCACATGACCAGAGCTATGCACATACTCAGGAAAGACTTGAGAAGGCTTTAAACTTTCCCATCTGGCCAACCTTGAAGCTTTGTACAAGCAAAATGAAAAGGCTAAGGCAGGGTTGTAAACTGCCTAGCTGAGTATTGAAGATGTACACCTGTATAAAAACAGGGCCTCTGCTGGGTGCAGTGGCTCACAGCTATAATCCCAGCACTTTGAGAAGCCAAGGCAGGTGGATCACTTGTGCCCAAGAGTTCAAGACCAGCCTGGGAAACATGGTGAAGCCCCATCTCTACAAAAAAATGCAAAAAAAAAATTTAGCAGGGCATAGTGGTGTACACCTGTAGTCCCAGCTACACAGGAGGCTGAAGCAGGAGAAATGCTGGAGACTGGGAGGCAGAGGTTGTGGTGAGTCAAGATCATGCCACTGCATGCCAATCTGGATGATAAAGCAAGACTGTGTCTCAAATAAGTAAATAAAAATAAAATAAGCCCGGCATGGTGACTCACGCCTGTAAGCCCAGCACTTTGGAGGCTGAGGTGGGTGGATAACTTGAGCCCAGGAGGCTGGGCAACATAGTGAAAACCTGTCTCTATATAAAATAAAAATAAAAACAGCCTCTCTGCAAAGACTGGGAGCTATTTTTTTGTTTCAGCATCTAAGGAAATTACTGTCTAATCAATTGCATCTATGGGTATGTTGTACCCCAATTAGTATTAGTAAGCTAGTAAATTAAAAAGCCAGTAAGAGAGGCCCTCAGAAGAAAGCAGCCCTGCTGATACCTTGATCTTGAATTTCTTTTTCTTTTTTTTTTTTCCTTTTTTTTTTTTCTGAGACATAATCTTGCACTGTAACCCGGGGTTGGAGTGCAGTGGCACGATCTTGGCTCACTGCAACTTCCACCTCCCAAGTTCAAGCAATTCTCCTACCTCAGCCTCCTGAGTATCTGGAATTACAGGCACCTGTCACCATACCCAGCTAATTTTTAAAACATTTTTAGTAGAGACGAGGTTTCACTATGTTGTCCAGGCTGGTCTCGAACTCCTGACCTCGTGATCCATCTGCCTCACCTGAAATTACAGGCATAAGCCACCGTGCCAGGCATTGATCTTTAACTTCTTATGCTCCAGAATCATGAGAAAGTTAAGTTCTGCTGTTTAAGACACCCAGTCTGCAGTACAGGTGGCTTTTTCTTTTCCTTTCTTTTTTTTTTTTTTTTTTGAAAAAAAATGAGGCTCACTCTGTTGCCCACACTGGAGTGCAATGGTACAATCTTGGCTCACTGCAAACTCCACCTCCCAGGTTCAAGCAATTCTTCTGCCTCAGCTTCCCAAGTAGCTGAGATTACATGCAGCACCACGACGTGGAGCTAATTTTTTTTTTTTTTTTTTTTTTTTTTTTTGGAGGGGGGCTCCGTCATCCACCCCAGGATGTAGTGGTGCAATCTTGACTCACTGCAACCTCTGCTTTCCAGGTTCAAGCACGTCTCCTGCCTTAGCCTCTCGAGTAGCTAGGATTACCGGTACCCACTACCATACCCACCTAATTTTTGTACTTTTAGTAGAGACGGGGTTTTACCATGTTGGCCAGGCTGGTCTCAAACTCCTGACCTCAGGTGATTTGCCCACCTCAGTCCCCAAAGTGCTGGGATTACAGGCATGAGCCACCACACCTGGTTTTTCAGCCTCCTGAGTAGCTGGGATTACAGGCATTACGCCACCATGCCTTGCTAATTTTTGTATTTTTAGCGGAGACAGGTTTCACCATGTTGGTCAGGCTGGTTTCGAACTCCTGGCCTGAAGTGATCAGCCTACCACCGCCTCCTAAAATGCTGGGATTACAGGTATGAGCCCCTGCACCTGGCCCAGATGGCTATTTATTTTTAAATGAACAGTAACAAGTGTTGACAAGGATGTGGAGAAATTGGTCTTATACATTGTTTGTGGGAATTTAAAATGGTGCAGCTCCTGTGGAAAACAATTGGCAATTTCTCAAAAACTTAAACATAGTTTCCATATGACACAGCAACTACACCCTGAAATATAAAGCCAAATGAACTGAAAAAATGTCTCCACAATAAAACTCGTGCATGAGTGTCCATAGCAACATTATGCACAATCAATAAAAACTGGAAACAATCAGGAGGCTGAGGCAGGAGAATTGCCTGAACCCAGGAGGCGGAGGTTGCGGTGAGCCGAGATCGCGCCATTGCACTCCAGCCTGGGTAACAAGAGCGAAACTCCGTCTCTAAAAAAAAAAAAAAAAAAAAAAAAACTGGAAACAACTCTAATGTCCATGAATTGATGAATAAATAAAATGTAGTATATCCATATAATGAGATATTCAGTCATTTAAAAAACTGAAATACTGATACATGATACAATAGAAATAAACCTTTAGGCTGGGCACAATGGCTTACGCCTATAATCCCAGCACTTTGGGAGGCCGAGGTGGGTGAATCGCCTGAGGTCAGGAGTTCGAGAACAGCCTAGCCAACATGGCAAAACCCCATCTCTACTAAAAATACAAAAATTAGCCGGGTTTGGTGGCACACACCTGTAGTTCCAGCTACTCAGGGGGTTGAGGCAAGAGAATCACTTGAACCTGGGAAGTGGAGGTTGCAGTAAGCTGAGATCACAGCACTGCACTCCAGCCTGGGTGACAGAGCGAGACTCTATCTCAAAAAAACAAAAAACAAAAGAAAGAAAGAAAGAGAGAGAGAGAAAGGTAGGAAGGAAGGAAGGAAGGAGGGAAGGAGGGAAGGAAGGAAGGAAAAAAAAGAAAGAAAGAAAAGAAAGAGAAGGAAAGAAAGAAACAAAGAGGACATAAACCTTGAAAACATTGTACCATGTGAAAGAAGCCAGACACAAAATCCTTCCTATTATACAATTTAATTTATATGAAATGTCCAGAATAGAAAAATCCATTGAAGAAAAATACTCCTGGAGAAAGAAAAGTGATTCATGGTTGCCAAGGGAGGGGGAGGGGGAAATGAAGGAATTGGGAGGTACAGGTTTTCTTGGGGAATGATGGAAATGTTCTGGAATTAGATAGTGGTGATGGCTGTACAACCTTGCGAATATAATAAAAACCACTGAACTGTACACATTAAAATGGTCAAAATATTATATTATATTAATTGTTTTTATTTAGTTTTTTATTGTAATTTAGGTTCTGGGGTACATGTGCAGATCATGCAGGATTGTTGCATAAGTACATACATGGCAAGGTGGTTTTCTGCCTTCATCCCCCCATCACCTATATCTGGTATTTCTCCCCTCATTATCCCTCCCCACCCAGCTGTTCCTCCCCTAGCTCTCCCCAACTGACCGCACTGTGTGATGCTCCACTCCCTGTGTCCACGTGTTCTAATTGTTCAACACCCACCTATGAGTGATAACATGCGGTGTTTGGTTTTCTGTTCTTGTGTCAGTTTGCTGAGAATGATGGTTTCCAGATTCATCCATGTCCCTATGAAGGACACAAACTCATCATTTTTTATGGCTGCATAGTATTCCATGGTGTATATGTGCCACATTTTCTTTATCCAGTCTATCAGTGATGGAAATTTGGGTTGGTTCCAGGTCTTTGCTATTGTAAACAGTGCTGCAATGAACATACGTGTGCATGTGTCTTTATAATAGAACAATTTATAATTCTTTGGGTATATACCCAGTAATGGAATTGCTGGGTCAAATGGTATTTCTATTTCTAAGTC